AGCGAATCTCACGATCGATCCTCGATTTATCTCGGGGGAGGGAGGGGAGTGAAAGCAGCGACAGAATTTCGAAGGAACCTCCTCTCGGGCGACAATAGGCTACGAAGAATTGGTGTTTTAATTTAAACGACGTTGTAAATAATCGTGGACAAATTTAAGTGGAAGGGGGAAAGTCTCGCGTTGTCTGTAGTTAACTTTGTAATTAATTGTAAACGATCTAACGGAGCGAAAACGAACAAAATGAAGAGGACAAAATGAAACCAAAAAGCAGATGAAACAAAAGAGACAGAGAAAAATATATATATATATATATATATTATAAATATTATAATTGCAAATGAGAAAAAGGAATATACATAAAGATATACAGATATATTCTACAAGTAAACGTACACATACACACGCGCACACGGACGTAAATAACGTCGAAACAAGAGAAAGAAACCGTTCAGGAGAAACGTACTAACACACACGTTACCAATCATATACATAATATACATACAATACTTGCAGCACCCTCGCCTCGCGCAATAAAACAAATTCTAAATCAACTTTCAAACTAGAATGCGTGCCTGAGTGCGTGAGAGGCCGACCCTCGCGAGCCAGAGAGTCAACCCCTCCTCGAAACTCTAATTAAACACCGGCTAATTTTAGATGAATCTGCGTGGACAAGTCTGTTTTAGTTGCTCAAAATACATTCTAAAATCGAGCGTGGATGGAAAAGGGAAAGAGTAGAAACTTTTTTTTTTATTTTAATATAATCAGGATGGTCGAATGGAACCACTTTGTAATTTTTCATAAAAATATGCATACATCACCAGCGAGGTATTTTGAGAATGATTTTCTGCAAAATCTATTAAATGTAATATGTAAATGCTTGTGTTCTTTTTTTTTATTTTATTGTAACTCTCTTTCTATGTCTTTGACAAGTCCGCGTAACATGAAACATATACATATCTATGTAATTTGGAAACTTTCGTATAATTATTACTTCGCTACTTTTATTAATACAATTGTTAGCTTCGAAGTCTTTAATTAAAATAAATATGTTATTTACAACAAATGATCTTTTTCATCTCAAGAACTTGCAAGTGAACGAAATTCTAATCACAGGGGATTAACAATTTTGTTCCACGGTAGATATCGCGAACGCAGATTAAAATACGATGAAATTATTTGTCCCCTTAAAAGAGATAAAAGTCTCGAGAACAAACTATTTTCGATGTTTAAGCGAGAAAGAAAAAGGAGGAATATTACCGAAGCCGGGGAATTCATTAACGTGGAATGCGAAAATTGCATTATCAGAGGTGCGGCTCGCTGGCTCACGGAGGCAGGGAAAAGAGGTATAAACGTGAACCTAAGTAAATAAAAAGAAAAAAAGAAAAAAAAGAAGATTATTATATTATATGATCGTAGGAGATAATCGAGAATAATGCGTCAGGTCCTTTGTCGTCCAAAGAGCTGCAGTTGTATGCGAGATCGCGTATTAAAAGGCGAATGAAAATTTATGAACTTATAGATAATAAAGAGAGAGAGAGAGAAAGAGATAGATAGATAGGTAGATAGATAGATAGATAAAGAAAAAAATCGAAAAAAAAGAGAGTAAGGTTCAAAGCTACGAGGAAGATCGAACGTAGCGAGACAACGGCTCGAGCTTAATCCGAATTTGAAGTTGTACACCTCTCTCTTCCAACCTTTCAATCATAACGATCCCTCGATCTTATCGT